AATTCAGAAAATATTTCATAATAACAGTCCCTTAAAATATCTGACATGGCACTGGCACAAGACATATTCAAGTGACTTTTCCGCATGCAGCCGCATGGTGTTCCCTGAAATTTGGGACCAGCGCCGAAAAGCAGATCTGTGGTCTCAAAAAATGGGAACCTCAAAATTCATCCGGTTTATCATGATGTTCTCCATTCAAATGGTCATACATTGACAGTAAATGATTCTGGATCTAAACCCTGGTATATATATATAGGTGCCCTAAGTATCCTTAAGTCATAGCTGGTGAATGGATCAGTGTTTCCCCCCAGTCATATTCCATCGCCTTGGCAGCATGAGAGTGGTAGTCCTGACAGACAAATATGGCCAAATCTTGGGCATACATGGGGTATACCCCCTAGTAAACTAATATTACCCTCTGGTAATTTAACATAGCTATTGAAAATGGCCATTTATAGTGAGTTTTCCCATTAAAAAAGGTGATTTTCAATAGCTATGTTAGTTTACCAGAGGGTAAACTATGGAAAATCACTCTTAAGAATTGGAAAACCAACGAAGTAAAGGGGCCCGTTTTCATAGCTATCTTAAATTCCCAGAGGGTCAGTTGAAAAGTTGGGTACTTAAGTTATGGCCATGTTCATGCGGAAAATGAGGTGTTAGACAATAAGGAACTGGTGAAAATACACCATACTTAGACCCTCCAACTATCAAAAAATTGTAAAGTAATAAAATAATGGTGTAAAACACAATTTTTACGGGTATACTTGGAGGGTCTAGGAATACATCATAATACACTGCAATAGTGCTTCATCCACCAGTGGAGCGGGAGGACCAAAGGGTCATAATCTGAGCACTGCTCAAAAGAGGCAGGCCCGCACTCACTGTGATGTGTGCTAACCAATCAACCACTTTGCCAAGTTTGTGGCTAATCTTTGGTAGTCCACAAAAAAAAAATCTGGTTATTCTCCATGTAGAGGAAAAAACTAAGGGATTACATATGTCCTACCTATCCAGTTGGCTGGGTATATCAGAGCTTTTATATCACACTATCATACCCCCCAAGTATATACCCTCTGGGTATTTAACATAGCCATGGTATAGGTGGGGAGGATTTGGTAAACATTGTTATAATTCCATAGTATATAGTATATATATATGATCATATGTATATATATATATATCGTATTATACTTATACTTATTGGTTTATCCCATACTTATTGGCTATGTTTATAGTATACTATATACTTATACTTATTGGTTTCCATACTATATACTATATGACTATGTATACACGTGTTTCCCAATACTTATTGGTGTATCCCATGAAAAATCCACTCGATCCCTCGGAATGCCATGATGGCCTCACTGAGTCTCTGCACCATCCTCCACTTTCCCAAACAATGCAAGACCTGGAAGGTCCAGTGTTGAAAGCCATGCAAAAACATGGAATATTTAGCCATGACATTGGGTAATGTAATGTGAATAACCAAGGACACTGGTGGTACATATTATATATATACATAACCAAGCCTAATAAGGATATAATTGGATATGATATGACAAACCAATAATAATGATGATATGGGTGCGTCTGAAAATATTGTTTTTTTAGCTCCAAGCCATGGTCACGTCAAGCCATGGGACAGTGATGACACAGCCAAGTTGATGAAGCCGCGAAGGCAACGCGTTTGGCAACGCGTTTGGCAACTTAGGGAACAGCTGGAACCAACACCACTAATGTGGTTAAAACAATGTCATAAGCCACCCATTTGAATGGTAACCACACCACCTATAAACATACGGTGAAATTGGGGATGGTTTATGGCATTATTTTACCAACATTAAGTGATTTCATACACTGACCTTTTTCCGCCAGATTCAATTTAGATCATCGGTTTTTCAAGCGAAACATCATCAAGCCCCAGACCGGACTGCAACCAAAAACGACAACCGAGAAGTTTCGTGCAGAATGGGGATGTCCCCGTGTAGATGCGATATGAAAGGGAAACTGTCAGGACACGGGTCTGTCTTCATAACGGCATAAACCATAAACTGATAAAACCTGGTGCTAAATTACTTTACTTCGTGTGATCCCCACCATGAAATTTATACATTTTCTTACTGGCAAATCTTCTGGCATTCTATCTGACATATCTTCTGACATTCTATTTGGCATTCTATCTGGCATATCTTCTGGCATATGATCTGGCATATTCTGGCATATCTTCGCATTCTATTCTGGCAAATCTCTGGCATTCTATCTGGCATATCTTTCTGGCATTATATCTGACATATCTTTGGCATTCAATATGGCATAGCTATATGGCATATCTTCTGGCATTCTATCTGGCAAATCTTCTGGCATTCTATCTGGCATATCTTTGGCATATTATCTGGCATTCTATCTGGCATATCTTCTGGCATATATTTTGACATATCTTCTGGCATATATTCTGACATATCTTCTGGCATTCTATCTGACATATCTTCTGGCATATATTCTGACATATCTTCTGGCATATCTTCTGGCATATCTTCTGGCATATCTTCTGACATATCTTTCTGGCATATCTTCTGGCATATTTTCTGGCATTCTATCTGGCAAATCTTCTGGCATTCTATCTGGCATTCTATCTGGCATATCTTATGGCATATTATCTGGCATTCTATCTAGCATATCTTCTGGCATATCTTCTGACATTCTTTCTGACATTCTTTCTAACTTTCTTCTGCACATTCTTTGTCCCATATCTTCCTACATGAGGTCCGGCAGGGAACACTTGGCGTGGATACTCGCGGTTGAGGTTCGGCAGGGAACACTGGGCGTGGATGGTCGTGGTTGAGGTCCGGCAGGGAACACTGGGCGGGGATGGTCGTGGTTGAGGTCCGGCACGGAACACTGGGCGTGGATGGTAGTGGTTGAGGTCCGGCAGGGAACACTGGGCGTGGATGGTCGTGGTTGGGGTCCGGCAGAGAACACTGGGCGTGATGGCCGTGGTTGAGGTCCGGCAGGGAACACTGGGCGTGGATGGTCGTGGTTGAGGTCCGGCAGGGAACACTGGGCGTGGATGGTCTTGGTTGAGGTCCGGCAGCGAACACTGTGGATCGCGAGTCGCAGTTGAGCAGGAGGACGAGGAGGACAACGAGACGAGGAGGACAACGAGAGGAGGAGGACAACGAGAGGAGGACGACGACAGGAGGAGGAGAGGAGGAGAGGAGGAGGCAGGCAGGAGGAGGAGAAGGCAACTTAGATAAAATCTAACAACCCTCACCTGGCAGGTGGGGAAAAACCCAACAAGAAGAACAATGTTTGAAAAAGCAAATAAACATGGCACAATTATATTCAACAACATATAATAGCCTAATATAGCGCAAAAAACACTGCTGGATATCAATTTCTGTACAACTCTGATACATCCACAGTGATTTTCCGTTCCCCTATGAGTTGATTTAGGAACCCATCTAAGCTGATGGGGCACCACCTTGTGTATATACATTAATATATATATATATAATAAATATATAAATAGCCACTATATTTAGATACAATTAGATACACATCCCTCCTGGAAATTTGGCAACATAACTCAACCAGCAAACATACAACACCTTTACCGCCTTTACTAAGTGGAATCTGTAGCAAGTCACGAGGCCCCCTTTCTCGAGGCATCTCGTCGCCGTCAGCATCATTCTGGATGGCCCCATCGAAAATTAGTTTGGATGATTCCAGTGAAACATGACAAATGTTGGATGGTGACTCATTCAACATAATTTAACATCATCATTCAAAATGACCAATTTTGGGATAACGAATTGTTGGATGGCGCGACAATTAACATTCAACATGACCCTTTTTTTTGGATCATTCTGGTTTTCCTGCCATTTTCGCACCCATTTTCTCCATGCCTGACCAGCAAAGTCCGCAGGTTTCAACTCCTCCGTCAGGGTCTTGATCAATGGCCTGGCGTTTTTGGCGGGTCGTGGCGCCGTGGCAGAAATCAATAGAACTGCTTGGTGGTTGACATATGGTTAATGGAACTATTAATATACTATTAATATACTATTAATATTGGTTAATATACTATTAATAATGGTTGACATATGGTTAATATACTGTTAATAATGGTTAATGTTAATGGTTATGAAATATGGTTTTCATGATGGTTTTTCAAATATCTGCTTGGTGGTTGACCTACCCCTCTGAAAAATATATGAGTTCGTCAGATTGGATCATCATCCCAACTATTGGGAGAAATAAAACATGTTCTAAACCACCAACCAGACTATGATTGTTGTATATCTTTGTTGGGTTTCAGAAATTGTGTTTCAAGATTTGTTTCAATCATTCAATGATCGCAGCTGGTTCCGGTACGCTACTCGTCCATGGCCAACCATGCGCTACTCGTCGTGTCTGGAAGAATTGTGTTTTAACCGCAGTTACCCTCTGGTAAACATACAAAAAACGAAAGAAAATCACCATGTTTAATAGGTAAATCCGCTATTTCTATGGCCATGTTCAATAGATATGTTAAATTACCAGAGGGTATCGGTTTGTCAAGATCTAGATGACCTGATTACAATGATGCCTCCACTGCCCTTCTCAAACAGATCTTGAGAGCATATTCCATTTCAACTAGATTACCCAGGCAACCATCCTAAAATGGTGGCCGCATGGCATGGTTACTCTCAGGTGCTCTACAAACATAACATTTCTGCCTAGTTATACATAGAGCACATAGATTCATCCGCATGTGTGGCAACAAATAAACCATCAGAACTACACAAGAAAGGTCTGTCCATATAGACACAGAAACATTTAGATCGTGTAAATGATGTTCAATGTGAAATTGCAAGTTTGAATTGCTGAGACAGTGAATCAAAATATATCGAAATGATCAATGATAACATGTTGAAATTGCTGAAATGGCTGAAAAATCGTTCAACTCCCCGTTGATGTCTCAATCCAACACGTCGGCCCGGATTGATTTTCCACGCGGCTCATTGCTCGGATCGACGAAGGTAGTCTTCCACCTTGGGGGACGTCATGTTGCGGATATAGGAGAAGTACACACACTCTTTATTTATATATATGAGTGTATCTAATATATATATATATATATATTACATACACACATTATATATATACACATTATGTAATATAATACGTTATTGTATATAGTTATGTGATTTGTGTGTTTATAAATACACGTATTGATATGAGCAACCACACACAGAAAACATAAAAAAAAACAGTGACTGGATGTGACTGGTATTGTTACATGTTTGCGGTGTTACTTTTACGGTCCAAACAACAAAAACTATCCTTGACATCGAATCATACATATGCTGAATCATGCTGTAAATATATGTAATCTGATATATATATATAATATAATCTTGGTAAATTATAATATTTCACTAGCCTGAATTAAGGCCATTTGGGGATGATTCCCCTTACTAACCATGATTCCAGTGAGGTCGCAGTGAGGTCGTTATAATTTACCCAGATATGTGTATATATATATATAATCTAAAAAAACATTACAAAAATGACATGCACTTGGTATGTATCAAGATATGTTAGAACTCACATTGTGCCGAGAGAGGGGTCAAAGACTTGCTGTTACAGTAACCAGTACTGTGAAAAATTGTTCCTCCAGCACTGGATGGTAAGGATACCCTCTGGTAATTTAACATAGCTATTGAAAATGGCCATTAATAGTGAGTTTTCCCATGAAAAATGGTGATTTTCCATAGTTATGTTAAATTACCAGAGGGTAGTGCAATTCAATTTATGCTAGTCATTTTGGCTGCATTATCGTGTATGGGTCGGTAATTTGACTGACATATCTATTCCAGGTTGTTGGAAATTGCTGACATAAAGCAGTTCGTAATTCTTCTGTTTATCCTCAACTAAAACAGTCTTTAGGTTTGCAGATCTAAATCATCTATGGTCACTTGGTATCATCGTCATCGTCATCATCATCATCATCATCATCATCACCATCACCATCATCACCATCATCACCAGCATCACCATCAGCATCACCATCATCATCCCACACCAGTATGACTAGCGCACCTCACCTCCAGTTCCAACATGTTCCGCCCAAGTCGCCATCTTTTGAGTGTAGGGATATGGCGGCGGATCCTTCAAACTGGGATCTTCCGCTTTCCAGGCCTTGCCATACCTCCGCTGGAGCGTGATGGCCATGATGGCTAGATGCTGCGTTCAATGACAGTTTTAATATCTTAGCCCTCGTGATGTG